TTTAGCCATTTTCCCCAAACTAATCGTCGAGCTGTTGTTTCAATATCAGCATCGTCTTCGATCACAACGGGGCTAAATATCCATCAATTAGACCCTGGACATCTATCACAAATTGTGAAAGAAGTCCATGATCAAATACCATTTTCCTCCAAGTTCCAATGTGACTGGAGTTAAATGTTTCGCAGCGGCTTCCATAACAATTTTCCCTACTGGTGGACAACCGGTATACAGAATGTGATCGAATCGTTCCTTGAGAAGTTCCGTTGTTTCTGGGACGCCTCCATTTATGACACTGAGGTATTCCTGCAAGCGTGAGAATGTTAGTCAAATTACCACCCGAATCAGGATTGATAAACAAATTAAAAATAAATACACAAAAAAAACAAAAAAACAACCGTATAGATGTGAGCCTTTGGGCGGGCAAGCTATGAAGAGTGGGTCGCAGACATTCATAAAAAGATTCCAACTGATAGAACTTACTGACGCACAATAGATCGCTAGAAAACCAAGACAGTAAGCTACAGCATGCAACTCAAAATGGCAAAAGAGTACGGCCAGCAAAAATGAATGAGAAGAAAGTGAATTCTGTTAGCGAGCAAACGAGCGACAATGTAGGATAGGGAACTATAAACAGTCTAGCATGCGGAAGCGACACTAAACGGCAACTAGCAAATTATAACGAAAAAGAAGAAGAAGTCGTGAACATAAGCGAATCTCGGTAGGGCGGACATCGGCACGTATGCCCTAATTCCTGTGAGCGCGCGCACTCACACGGCAAATCTTTGCTAGTTGTCTCGCGGCATCAAATTGTAATGACCGTAACCAGTCTCGCTTTCAACGCTGCAATCATTAAACCTCAACCCATACCCACGAACTAATCAGCTATTTTTCAGGTACACGGTGGGACGTGAGCGTGGTGCAGCGCTTAGCATAAAGCCACATACTCGAGTACAGCCAGTTTCAATTCGCTTAGTGTGTAGCCATTGTTAGCTAGTTGTCTCACGAATCATCAGTTGGTGGCGTCATTGTGGAAGCCATTCCACAAACCATCGTCTTCCATCAATTACGGCGAGCTCAAAAGGTGAATACAAACATATACTTACCGGTTTGAAATATTTTGGAAAGAGTTTTTCATAAACGGCAGCGGTGTTAGCGGAAACTTCTGACGGTTTGATGACCACAGTATTACCTGACAAGATAGTTAGTTCATTAAAAACCTAGATGACTTCAAAATTCTGAGACTTTATAACTAATCACTTACCAGCAGCTATAGCAGGTATGAGAGGTAGAAGAAGAGTCGTTAGTGGGTAGTTCCACGGTGACATAATCAGTACGACACCTAGCGGCTCTCTGACAATCATTGGCTGATCCAATGCTGTTGCAAAAGTTTTTTGTACCTGAAAAAAATCATTGTAGAAAAATTGTCGAAGACTTGGCCCTACTTCTCTCATAGGGGTGCATGTGAAACTGTGGGCCACGAGTGAACCACCAATCACGAGCACGCTGTAGTTGAGTTGCAGAGGGACTTGAGCGCTCAGGGGGCTCACAAAACTGCCTGTACAGTGGGAACGTTGCAACCTTTGTTAATAATGCGATCAATAGCTATGGTTTCCACACTCTTCAACGCTACTCCTTTTGTTGGTGAGCTAGATAGAAGAATTTCACTTTGTCTTGTAAAGTTACTTTATCTTATCTCACTGGTCTCCCCATGAAAAAGAAGTAAGGTTCAGTTGATGCATGCTGGCATTGTCGAGATTGCTCAAGGTAAGTTTTGAGTAATAGGTACATTACGTGCCTTTTATAATTATTTATTGTACACCGACAAAAAAAAACTCGTGCGGTTCCAAAAGAAAACTCTTGGTCTGGACGAGTTATCCAGGTTAGAAAGCCGTGATTCAGTAACATACGTATCCGACTATTGTGAAAGGAGTGGGTCAATTCATGAATGTCTCAATGGCAGCGCTTCCGGAAGATCTGTCCAGGTTTTTGTTCAAACTGTTGTTCGGCATATCTCAGGCATCAGGTAAAACTATCTCCCAGAATTCCCAAGACCCACGCCAAAATTCCGGAATATAGGCGCTCTGATGATAATCTTAGCTACTATTTGGATGGATCTGTACGACGATAATGGAATTTGGACAGGACTCAGTTTTCGATACCACCCAGTTTTGATGGCGTTCGCCGTGAGTGTTAAGTGTCAGCATACATACTCGGAAAAAATCCCGTGCGCGTTTGCGTTTGACGAATAATCGAGCCGTGACGCAACCGCACGCGGCTGCTCCTGCATGTCTCACCACTGAGGACCAGCCTCACCAGAAGAATTTGAAAAGAGTTTCAGCAGCTAAATTGTTTAGATTTATCTTCTGGGAAACTCAATATTGATGTTCCGAATTCTAAGAGCCCCGAAAAAGTGGATCGCAACAGTGGCGCATGTTATCGTTCATAGTTGTGCTATCTTTGTGATGTGTTTGGGAGCCTTCGTTGCCTGGGACACTTACGCATCCATTGATGACGCAACTACCTCTGCTACGCCATCAAACAGTAAGTTATAGGTTCAGGTTGGGGTAGGTCAGGACCAAGTCAGGGTAAGAGTTGCTTCTGCACCAGCTATACCAGACTTCTCCAGTATAACCAACTCTTCAACTCCAGAACCTTCCGGACCTCAACCATTCCTACGCTACTATTCCTTCCATACCTGGCTAGGACTCGCAACAATTACATTATATATCGTACAGGTACGGATTACCGCAACCAGTCCCATCATGGTAACCCATACCCAGAAGCTGAATTTCAGTACATTGGCGGCGTCATGATCAACAGACATCCCAATACTGATGTTCGGAAGACGTTAAAGTCTTTTCACCAACTCAGCGGCTTAGTATTATTTGGAGCAACCATTCTGACGGCCAGCTTCGGGACGTCTCAACAAGCGTCGTGGAAAAGCATGTAAGCTCTGTCGATCGATACCCATCCCTTCTACATATCTTATTTGTAGATGCAGTTCTAATGGAGAAACGAGGCAGCATATTCTGTCTAATATGTTTGCTATCTCTTTCATTACCTTCTGCATTTCAGTATTCCTTCTTGTTTGTAATCCCAGGTAAGACCATTGTATAGTAAAGGAATCAATAAGCTGAGTATCACTACTTTAAAGGGTGTGGCCCCGTACCCAACGCGCGAAGATTCCTATCTAGTTGTCCCGCCACGCAACATGTCTGCCTTCGCTAGCTGCCTTACCGCATGCCGTTCGATTTTCAGCAGAAATTTGTGCACTGCTTTGAATTTTTCAGTGTGGACTTTGCTAGGGGGGAGTTCAGCGAAGGTTTTGAGAAAAATGGGTTGGCGTCAAAAGCAACAGAAAAAAAAATTAAAAAAATAAATTTAAAGAAAACTATTGCAATAGAGGTAAGCAAGTTCATCATTTTACAGATGGAAGCGGGAAGAGAAACTTACAACCTCGGTCAATTCTACGTCAGTGTTTTCAACAGGAAATGTATCTGCCGCCGAAAATCGTGGCCATTTT